AGTGAGAAACAATTTGTGTTGATAGGTGGGTAAGAAAACCGTTGGCACCTAAACTTGAACAATTTAAGATTATAGTGATCGGGGAAACATAGTTGGTAGTTAGTTCCACAGAGCAGTGATTCGTGGGCAGCTGTTCGAGTGAAAATTACTTCTCACCAGTGGAATAGCGATTTTCCAAGCGTAGCTTAGATGTAGCACAAGGCCGAAAGTATTGGAGCACCCAGTGACGATCGAACTCACTACTCAGTCGTAATATGTTCTAGCGAGACAAGTTTTCTAACCATTACACCACGCCTAGGTGCTCAAATTGATTTTCTAAGCGTAGCTTAGATGTGGCACAAGGCCGAAAGTATTGGAGCACCGAGTGAGGATCGACCTCACTCCTCAGTCATAATTGTTCTAGCGAAACAAGCTTGCTATGAATTACACCATCTCGAGGTGCCCTTCTCACCAGTGGAATATGGAGGTAATTAGGGTACGTCTGCTACAATATGAGTATTATGGCGGGTCCTAGCCGTGAAGGTTCGAACTGGTGAAACCAAGGAATGCTGTTGTCGGAGCACTTGCCATGGAAATGGCGATAGAGGAGTGAGATCCTTACCACATCAAGTTTGTGAGATAGGGGTTGGTAGATGGAAAATAATCTGTCACCTACAAGGAATCGGAGACGTTTTTTGGACTCTATTGAGATTGAAAAAATAAGGAATGATCACCTAACGAAATATGACAGCAGTTACCCCATTTTAGGCCCGACCTGACTCTTATAAAGTTAGAGGATAACAGGAGGTGTCAGCTAGTTACTGGTGAGTTACAGATAACCCGCCATTTTCCTTTCGCAATGGATCGTATGTACGCGTTCCAATTGAAGTCAGAGGTGTGTTCAAGGCCCAATAATCTGTCAAGGCACGGATCCTCCTCGAGGGGGAGGGGTCCATTGGTCCTGACTGGAGGGACGTTCGCCTTATTGAATAGCCTATCTTTTTTTGTTTCAGGAGGAGAAATCTGTCAGTTGTTGGTATCTCAAAACCCAGTTCCTCTTGTATTTATCTAATATTGATTCGATTCCTCTTTCATTTTTCTTCCCTCCCGAACATATAATTATGTGATCTTATTATATCCATATTTAGTTTCCACCATTGACACCCCGAATGTCAATATTCCACCTTTCCATTTTCATTTGTTGGTTCAGAATTTTGTTTTGGGGAGCTATCTATACACACACACACACACACACACACATACATATATGTGTGTGTGTTTGCGTATATATATATATATATATATTTGCTTAGAATACATTGAAGAGTCTAGAATGAATTATAACATTTTCTTTGGGCAGTAATTGTCGAATTGAGTGACAGAGTATTTATATTTCAGTCTATTTCTTTGGTTGTTGATGTCGTTGTTGATATCGGATTTAATATGTAGGTTTAAGTTTAAGGAATCCATCTTGTTCGTTCTTGAGTTGATAATTGGAAAATTCGGAAAAGTTAACACGGAAGTTTAATACGATGATTTTTCTATTTCAAATATTAGTTTCTTTATTTTTACGTTTGTTTTTGTATTATGTGAACTCTTTTTGTGTGTGTGGGGGGTAGCTTTAAATTGCTTATACTTAAGTCAGCTTTTCATCTCTTCAGTCATTGTATAATTGTTCAGATAGCGAGTTCAGGTGGTTAAATTTCCACGTGGATTGTATTACTCGCTGTTCGATCAATTTCCGTCGAAATCTTTTAGTATTATTTTCTTTACTTGCTGTTATGGAATTTTTTTTTTAAGCGTTTCACCCCAAGCAAGGCGAGAAGCCACTAGGACGCAAGGGGTTACAGAAGATTTGGAGCAAGATCAGATAGGAGTGATAGAGGAAAGAATGAGGAGAAGGATAGTGGATAGCTCCAGGAAACTGGAGATGTCGATTGACAATACATTTGAATAGTTGGAGATTATAGCTCTCAGGGAAACTGGAATAGGGAAGGGTGTTCCACAGGTGAGAGGCGCGAGACATTAATCTATTGGAGTAGAAGAGACGGCTACATTTAGGAGTTTCGACAGTGAAGGGGTGAGAGCGGGATGCCAGTCTCCTAGGGGGCTTGAACTCATGAAGTCCGGAAACCAGCGAATGCAGCTCCTCGGAGCAATTGCCATGAAAGTCTTTTTAAAAAAGTCAGAGGGAGGCGACGGCGCGTTTGTGAGAGAGAGACTGTAGGAAGACGTTTTACATTAATGCATGTTTTATTAACGACTGAAGACGTTTCTGTCTGAATTTGGGTGATGAGGTATGATCATTATATATATTGTTTGAGCTATTTACAGTCGAATTTATATATTTGTCTTTCGATATTGCTCTACATTTCTGACATGAAGCATTGTAACTATATACACTATATACATTGTCGGGACTGCTGTCCTCATCTTTACTGTCATATCCACGACGTTTCGGTTCTTGTACGCCCCGGTCTTCCTAAAGTGATATTTGTTGGAATTTCGAACCGAAACCTGTATTTAGTCTAAAAAAAGGTAAAATTGTCCGAATTCCACGTACCATGCCTTTGAATATCTCTGTTTTTGTTAATTCATTTTGATAACACAACTCTCCAAGTCGTTGTTCTCTCTGCTGAGGCCAGGGATTGAACTCTTTGCGTCAAGTCACTGTTTAGATCAGTCGACTAGCGCTGTTATAGAAATTAGACCAACTATTTATTATTTAAAATGTACTATTTGTTACAAATTCATGACGGTCGTCTTCGAGTATAGAATCCAGAGGTTAGCAGTGAATATTTCGGAGACAGTAGGAAAGCGTAGTTCAGGTTCGCATTGGATATCGCAGCAAAGTAGCAGAGCGTAGTTCTTCCTTCTCTCATGTTCGCCTGACAAGTTGGCTCTGGTCATTCCGGTAGGGTAAACAAAAATGGCCGCCTTTATACACGACGGATACAATGTTCTGCGGCTTCTGATTGGTTAACCTTCTATTGGTGGACTATAAAGGGAGTTAAGTCATTTTCACTAAGTGACTAGTTACATGATATATACACAAAAAACTGTAACACTATTTTGATTAAAGGCGAAAAGATTTTATTTCGAATAAAATGTATAGAAAGTGCTTTAATCTCTAGATCATAGAATTTAGTTCCAATGTTTTTATAACGTTTTACAGTTCAATTTTTGGGATATTTAATAACAAATGTGATAAAAAACATATTTAAAAAAACTTACTGAAATTAGCTATACTATATGCCAAACAAATATTTTTAAAAATAATGTGAAAGTTTAAATTTTCAGTGGACCTTCTGCTTTGTGCTCATGTGAAGTTACATCAACGGAAACACCACTTTAGTCGGATGAAGTCCTAAAGGACGAAACACAGAAACACATCACACGAAAATGTTTTTCACTTTGTTAACACACACACACACACACACACACAACACACAAACACACACACACATATATATATATATATATATATATATATATATATATATATATATATATATATTGGCAACATGTTTTCATTAAGACATAACGCATTAAATAATTTAGACAAGTTTTGTCTACTTATTTTTAATAGGATCCTCTCGTAATCACGGAAACCTTTCGTAATATTCTTATGAAAGGAAGAAAGAAAATTACCATGTTGATTCAGATTTATTTTCTTCCGAGTACTTTCGACATTAGCAAAATGTCGTCATTAGGGTCTTGCTTTTACTAAGACAAAAAATTGTTATGTTCATCATTTTTCTAAGGTCAAATTTTTGTGTTCATCTGAAAATTATTTTTTTCACGTGTGAAGTAAAAAAAAGAACACTAAGGTTATGGAAGGTACAATTTAAAATTTTATCGTGCAAGCTCACGTGTAAATATCAGGGGAGACAAATAGGTTATTGTAATACCTAAATATTTTTTTTTACAAAGAAAATAATAATTATTTAAAACTATTAGTTAAATCTTAAATATTTTAATCAGCTGCAAATAATTTAAACATTTGTGCAGTATTCATAATTATTTTTATTTGGCTTCAGTTCCTTACTATAGATAGCTTCAAGAATATTTAGAAAACAGCAAAAATAATATATAATTGTTGGCCATACCACTACTATGTTGTCTCGAAGGTTGAGTTTTGATTTGAATGATGCATCACACATATCTCAACAGTTATAACAGCATGCCTGTCCACCATCGCAATTGAGGTAAATTTCATGAAAATAATAAACCTAAAGCTAATTTTTGGATTAATTGATTGGTTAGTTTTCTACATCTCGTCAAACTTTCAGCGGTTATTGAAAACTGAAAAATTTTTTGAATTATAAGAATATTTATTTTTTGTTTCGAGATAACATTGCATTAACCCTGTTTTGGCGAATAACAATGGGTTTTTTTTTCCAGAAATAAAAAAACTCTTGCTATTTAATCCATAGCTGGAGAAAAATTGATTCATATCTTCACCAAGATTATTCACTCGTAAATGAATGTAACGAATCCGAATGATAATTGAACTCGATTTCACAATTTCTAATTCCGAGTCGCTACGCATTGCATCATCCGCATTTACGTTTTTTTCTGTCGTTGTGTGGAACAGACATCCATGTGGACGGCTTTCAAATCATTACAATCCTAACTTATTCCAGTCTAGGGTTAATCTATCCTACATATTTTCATAATCTACTCTGATTTACACCTATACATAAACATCGCTCAGTAATCCTCTATTTTGAGTGACTCTTGGGCCTTGTATTGGGTGAACCTTTAGTATAAAATGAATACAAAATAAGAAACTCTATTTTTACCTTCTCTTGATTTCTTCTGCTTTATGCATGTCTTTTTTATCTTGTTCATCTTCTTTTTTTTTCTAACTGTTATTATTATTATTATTATTATTTTTTTTTCCTAACTGTTATTATTATTATTATTATTATTATTTTTCTAACTGTTATTATTATTTATCATTTTACAGCGTCTCTGTCATATCGCGTCCAGACCAGCTTTCATTGACAATCACGAAAATGAAACTCGCTGATGCTGGTAACTACACATGCGTTGCTTTCGAAGATGGCCGGACTACGCAATTGGTTGTCCCAGTCAAAGTATTCCGTGAGTCTATTTGATTTTATGCATTCTATGAATATATATATATGAATATATATATATATATATATATATATATATATATATATATATATATATATTAGCCACCGAAACCGTGAGATCACCCCTGGCTGATGAAGACAGGGTATCGCACGTGCTAACACATGTTGTATGTTAAAAAAAATATATAGATAGATAGATAGATAGATATGAATATATTATAAATTTACTAATTTAAAAATGTCGTACACAGGAATTAACATGTGTGTGTATTTAGGCAGCAATCCTTCTTTCCTGTCCATTTCATTGAATACTAGGTGCTTTTATTTAGTTTTTTTATACGATTTAATTTTCAATGTAAAATATTTTAACTGTTAAATAAGAAATAGTTTGTTGTATGTATGTTTTATGGGCACAATATTTTGACCGTGTTTTGAAAAATGAAAACGTTTTATAAAACACACATACAACAAACTATTTCATATTTAACAGTTAAAATATTTAATCATTGAAAATGGCTAAATGTATAGCCGAAAGCGCTCGGATAAAAAGAACATTCGGACAGTTTTTAAATAATGTATCATCCGAAAAAGAAAAATCGATCGCATGAGAAATTATATTAAAAAACTAAATAAAAGCACCTTGTCTGTCGTATTCAATGAAATGTGCATATATATATATATATATATATATATATATATATATATATATATATATATATAAATTTATTTAAAAATATGATTCCTTCGCTACATAAGGGTTCTCATATTTCAAAACAAGAGCCGAAAACTTCAATATAATTATTAGAATTAAATTGAATTAAAGTTAACCAGAGTAGACGATGTCATCTTCCGCTTTAAATTTAGACACCCCAACCCTACCTTGACTTGACCTCTTTGAATGTAACTAAGATATTGATGCAAATTATTAACCCTTACGCCACCTATCTAAATATTTGCTCTAGCCGTTACAATGGTACTTTTAATTTGAATAACGAATATGCTTATAAAACTGCGTAAATTTCAGTTATTTCAAGATTACTGAGCCTACAAAATGGAAAGAAGCAATGTCACACGCTATCATTACTAATAGAAAACGAAAGTAATTCCGAAAATAAATGCTACTAAATCTTAAGATCAAAGCGGATGCAAGGAATTTGAGGGCAACGATTCTGTCTCATCTTCAGCATTAGGTTTGTCATCACAAGATCATGATCGCGGGCCGATGTCTGCACCATGGAATGGCCTTGTTTTCGCGTTGGACTTGAAGCGTTGTGGGACCAGAATGAAGCAGCGATGGCCAGACTGCAAAGGATATCGAAGAGCAACATCAGCTTCCATACCAACTTCACGCTCTACAAATCGCTGGTCATGTCCATCTTCGTCTACGGGTATGAGACTTGGACACCTTCAGCGAACAAATACTTGAGAAAGGTCTTCCGCATCTCCTACTCGGAGCAAAAAGCAATGACTATGAACGAAGTAATATCAAAACTCTCGTCGGCCGACAGCAATCTCTCATCAGAAGATGTCATAGTTTATCACGACAATCAAGTAAGTTACCGTTAAAGATGGGAGCAAGCGGGGTCAGCAAACCAAAGCTGGTCAGATAACATCGAAGAGTGTACGGACAGGACAATACCGGAACGCCTGGGAGCCGCTACCAACAGATTATCCTGGAGGACATTGACTGTTTCTCAGGTTTCCCCGACTATTGAAACAGTCAAGAGACCAATGATGGTGATGATTGGATTCATTATACAATCAGACTGTGATCAAAATGCTGAGGTGGTTATAATTTTCAGGTCTGAAAATAGCTTTATTTGACTAATTCATCAAATTAATTATAAAAGACCTGAACAAGACAATCTATAATGATCACGAAACACCATCTTTGGAAATGAGTAACAGAATATTTCAAAAGGAATATTCGTTATTTCCATTAGGAAGATCATCCTGATCGAATGAGATATAAGACAAACACCGGTAGAATCGTATTTATTTGCGTATTTATAATGCACAGCCCCGGAGGATTAGTGTCAATTGTTGATGCCCTTGGCGTCCCAGTCAGGAAGTGCCGAGGAAGCTGAGCAATTTGCGTTTCCAATCTCATGCCCGCGTGGGATTCCCAATTTTATTCGGCTAATGCGAGATTCTGTACGATTGGACGAACGCTCAATGCCAAACCGCATCTATTTAATGTTAAAATATTGTATGGTATTCCCCCTCCCGACACACAGATACATGGACAGACAAAAATCTTTACATAAATATTTAATTAAATTTGAAGACTGCATGTGAATACAAACAGAACCTTTAATCTTCATATACGCTGTCTGACTAAAAATGTATCGTGATTGGTGTTATTAAAAAGAAAACTGCAAATAAACGTGTATCCATTTGGCATTTAATTTCTTTCGAAGCAGTCCCCTTCTAAAGCCACACACGTTATTCAGCGTCGGTTTCGTTGATGGAAGCAGTCTTGGGAGTTTTTTTTTTTTGGATAAGGCGCAGCTGAAAGCAAGAATTCTGCAGTTGACAGGCTGACAAAAATTACACCAACTCCCATATATTCAAAGAGAAAGAAACCTGGAGAGTAAAGCAGGCGAAATGTTGTAATAAAGACAACGAATATAGGTAAAGAGATTCGAATGTATTCAATGCACGAGGTTGGATCAAAAATTATCGGGACAGGTGGCATAAATAGAAAAAATTACAACACAAATCTATTCGGCATTTAATATCCTTCGAAGTAGTACCGTTTGAAGCCGCACAATTGATCCAACGTCGGCTTCATTGATGGAAGTATTCTTGGAAATCGTTTTTTGGGATAAGGTGCTGCTCCAGCATGAATTCTGCGGTTGCTGGGGTGCCAAAAAGAGAAATTATACAACTAGCTGTATATTAAAGCAGAAAGAAACCTGAAGAATAAAACAGTCGAAATGTAATAAAGACAACGAATATAGGTAAAGAGATTCGAATGTATTCAATGTATGAGATCTGATCAAAAATTATCGGGACAGGTGGCATAAATAGAAAAAAGTACAACACAAATCTAGTCAGCATTTAATATCCTTCGAAGTAGTACCGTTTGAAGCCACGCACTTGATCTAGCGTCGGTTCCATTGAAGGCAGTATTCTTGGAATATCTTTTTTTGGTGGGTATAAGGTGCCCCTCCAGCAAGAATTCTGCGTTTGGTAGATTGCCAAAAATAGTAGTTACGCCGCTAGCCATATATTAAAGCAGTAAGAAACCTGTAGAGTAAATCAGGCGAAAAGTTGTAACAACGACAACAAAGATAAGGAAACAGTTTCGAAGGTATCAATGTACGAGATCTGATTAAAAAAAAAGTATCGGGACTGGTGCTATAAAAAGAAAACTACAACACATATCAATTCGGCATTTAATCTCCTTCGAAGTAGTCCTCTTCTGAAGCCACGCAATTTATCTAGCGTCGTTTCCATTGCTGGAAGCATTCTTGGAACTCCCTTTTTGGGATAGCTAGCTCTATTGAACAGAAAAAAAAGGCCAGACGGAATTGTAATAGTAATGATTTCGACACAGACAATGTCCCAGAAATAATAAATGAAATTTACCAAAGTGTTCAACACTTGTAAATTTCATTTATTATTTCTGTAATCCGGAAGACCTAAGCCGATCTACTTTCATAGCAGTCCCTAAGAAACTGATATAATGGAATATGCATACACCTGTGTTTCCCCACACAAGAATATGATTGGCTGGTGTCCGTCATAAATACCGACGGACGTGTAGGTACGACAGAGTCAGAAGAGAGCCTTAGTCTGAGAACTAAGTCTATAACGTCGCCCATTGGACTACGCCATTGGACTACGCCATTGATCTACACTTCTTACCTGCGACTACGACGCGTACCAGTCGATTACTGCTACCGTATTCTACTTGGTTATAGTAGCTAAAACCACTTAGCTACTTCGTTCAAATATATCCCTTTCCCGGACATATCAAAAACCAAGCGCAAACGAATATGGACTCCATCAGACAACTAGCCTAATGATCCATACAACAAAAGTCATCATCCGATTTCGGATGACTAGAGCGCGCAGCAGAATCAGACCGGAGATGAGACAAGGACAGTGTGGGTTTTAATCAAAGACACCGAAACAAGGTACACGTTATTTATACTCAGAAAGTTATCAGATACAGCAGTATAAATGCAGAAGGTCTTGTACCTGTGCTTTACTGATTACGCAAAGGCGTTGGATTAAGTACACTACAAAGTTCTGTTAGAGTTGCTCAGCCACCTGGACACATTCATCAATCAGAATAATCAAGAACCAATACTGGCATCAAACCGCCTGCTTACGAACAGAAAATGAGTTCAACAGATATACAATAATAAAAAAAGGGTATAAAACACGGGTTCGAATCTCACCATGGTCGATTTATCATGAAGGCGACTTCCTGATGTTATCGGACTGGAGAAATGCGATTCCAGCGTTCCGCACCTGAAAACCATACCACGGGTTGACCCAAGCCTTGTAAGTGAAATCGGGTAGACAGAACTCTTGGGGCACGTCGATAGAGGTGCTAGTCATCGTGACCCAGAGCCTGAGCGTGCTGGTCTTGTTCAAATTGTTGATCACGCTAGGTAACACACACTTTCCCAGAAACTCTAACTAAGTCCTGCTCAACATAGTTGCAGTATAATCCACAGCTGGGCTCTGTGAGTATTGAATAAACACAAATGCGCCTGGGCAAGCATCTGCAATAGGGATTAGCTAGTGTATCCTTGAATACGAGTGACCATACATATATAAGACAATGATGTGTCTTCTCACCGGATTTATTCAACCTATATGGCGAGGCAATTCTGATAAAATAAGGAGTCTTACTAGGATTCATTATTGGCGGCCACAATCTTGATGACATGCAGATGACACAGTGTTGACAGCAGACAAGAGTATAAAACTAAAAAAGCTCCTACACAAGGTAGCGCAGGAAAGCGTGAAGAAAGGACTAACTATAAACCACAAGAAGACAGAATGCATGGTTATCAGCAAAAGGATGAGCCTAAAGAAAAAATTACAAATCATGGATACAAAAATCAAACAAGCAGAAAAATTTAACTATCTGCGAAGGACGGAAACTGCAGCAATGAGATCCGAACACGTATTGGGATGGTCAAAGATGCTTTCCAAAAGCTAAGTAGAGTATTAAGAGACAGAAAAATAAAAATAAAAGAGTAACATGGTATCTCTCTGTCCTACTGCATAGCAGCGAATGATGGACAATCTCTTCAAAGATGCAGAAGCTGCTTGAATAACAGAAATGGTGTTCTGCAGAAAGATGCTGAGGATAACATGCACCAAACATGTAAGCAACGACGAGGTTTTGGAGAAAATGGAAACAAAAAGGAAGCTTATATCTAACATCAGGAAGAGACAATTGAAATTTTTTTTGGTGGGGGAGGTAATGAAGAAGGAAGGCTTGGAGAATCTGATACTCACAGGATTGATGGAAAGAAGGAAAGCAGCGCGTCACATGTTTGACGAGCTTGAGTAAATGCATTGTAGAACAGGGTTTAAATAACAAAAAGACAAAACATTATTAAGAGCTATAAGCTACATGAAGATGTGGAGTGCCATGATCGCCATACGTTCTGAAGGGACATGACATATAAGAGAAGAAGAAAGAGACGTGGGGAATATTGGGCATGGCCAAAAACAGCTGCACAGGCCATGGTCATGGAACTGTTATGGTGTGGTTGAGGCAACCACACTCTACACACTTTCCTTCCATAACTGCTAGAAACAACGGAAGTGAGCGAGAACGGTATAAATTAGTGTAAAGGCGCGACAGATTTTAAAAGTCAATAATGTGCCTTGCGGCTTCACTCTGCGTACGTGATCTCCGTTACCATGACAACAGTCCCGATACTTTTTGATCAGAAATCTGTTTAGCTGATAGCGAAGAGTACTTAATGCTTTGTATTCAAGTCTCTGGACGCTATAGCATATTTAATTTTGATTTTATTTTTCGAAATCTTTCAGAGAGCCCCGAAATTATGATTCTCCCCCGTGAAAACTTGGAAATCGCGTACGGCTCAAATCTCGTGCTGAAATGTATGGCGCTAGGACTTGGCCCTGACGGAAACCCGCCAAAACTGACGTGGATTACTCCCGCTGGTTATTCAGTTAACAATACATTTGGGAGGTAAGGAAACGAAATGCAGATGTCTTTTTAAGCTCATTCATTGCGCCAATTTCCTCGTTTTTTTGTTTGTTTGTTTTTTTTTTAATTTTTTAACGCGGACTTTCAGTCGTTGTTCACTTTCGTTTTCGACAGGTATATCTGTCGTTTGCATTCACTTTCCAATAACATCGAACAAAAATATTAAAACTGGTAACTGTCAGCTTTTTGTTTATAATGTTACCCTGCTTTTCCAGTAGACAGTAGGCCACTGTGACAGAGCAGAAAGAGAATGATTTGAATGCTTTTGATTCACCTTATAATTATTTTTTTTTTTTACAATGACAATGAAGATTCTACTAACAATCTTAGAATGGTAAGTAGTAGGTCAATGGCACTAAACTGGTAACTATTAGTTCTTTGCTTGCCTCACCAATTACCTGGTTATTTTGGTATTACCTAACAGAGAAATCTCAAAATTATTATTTTCTGAACTTTTTTTTTTATCCTAACAAGAAATATTCCGCTAACAATATTTTACGACTGGAAAAATGTAGGTCACTATCACTGAACAGAAAGAGAAAGATTTGAAAGCTTTTGATTCCCTTTATATTTTTTTTCTTACTATGACAATGAATATTCTGCTAAGAATCTTAGAATGGTAAGTAGTAGATCAATGGTACTAAAAAAAAGAGAGAAAGAAGCTGACTAGAAGTACATCTCTTTTCTACTGTACCAGTCAACTGGACAGGAAAAGAGAGAAAATAACTGGTTAGAAAAGTATGTTTCCTTCAGGAGTCACGGTGGTGTAATGGATAGCGGCTCGGATTGAGGAAACGAAGAGCCGAGTTCAAATTCCAGTTGAACCCATTACATTCACTTACGTGCTAATAACCATGGGAAAGGTATGAATCCTCTTGTTCTCCCCACCACCCAGCTATTTAACCAGATATAGGTAAATAGCAGGACAGACCGGGTTCTATTGCCTTTCTGGTCTGCGGAAGAAAACTGCAGGAAAAATCGAAATGTATCGAAAGATACATGATCGTCTAAGCGTGTATCACGCATGGCACATAACTGACTGACTGATTCCTTCTACCAAGTTAAAATGTATCCTGAAATAGAATTATATAAGAAAAAGGAGAGGGGTGTTTTTAATCAAATACTTTATAATATGAACACAATTGATTTTAGCAGTTAGCTTCTTCGTTTTTTGGGGTTTTTTGGGTTTTTTTTTTTTTGTCGTCTTGTTTTGTATGACACCATAACTTGATCTAATGTTGCTTTTTTTATGACAAACATTTAGAGCGGGTCTGAATAAATTGCCCAATATTAGGGGGAAAAAAGTCCTTATATCTATTTGTATGAAAATGTACCTTTGAGTTAAAGAGAGACATGAATTATCAGGTCATCCCATAAGTTCTGTCCTAATTTTGAATAAAGAAAACAAGTGACTAAATGTTACATTTAATTACAGATTCAATCAACAATGTATTTTCCCTGATTATCTATGACTTCCTTCCATCTATTAACAAGCTTACTAATTCCATTACTGTAAAATTCTTTTGGTTTTGATTCGAAGAACTCACAAATGTCAGTTTTAACCTCTTCCTGTGTTACAAAAGCTGTTTCTTCCAAATGAATTAATTGATGTGAGACAGCGTGTATGGATCAAAACAGAGCGACCGCACACGGGTACTATCCCTCTTTATCTTACCTGGTCCGATTAAAATGCTCGTAAGTAGATTATGCCATTGGGTTTATCGAACCCGTGAGAACGTTATATATTGGCAACTAAAACTGTCCATACCGAGAACACATCGACGTAGAATTGTATACTTCAGTCTAGATTCTCTGGCAATGTCCCACCCAAAAAATTATAAACTAAACCAAAGTTATTTGTGCCATTGCCGGATTTCTAAAAGAATAAATGTAGGTAGTTCGAATACTTGAGGAAAAGTATATATATTAGAGATACCGTGGCATTTCTACTCACAAATCAGATGATTCCACATATATTTTCGTCCTTCTGATTACAAACGGGCTTGAAAGAAACAATGTATAATAGTAACAATATCGCCATTGATTTTGGTTTTGCCGTCGGGAGTACTTGCCTGTTGTGACTAAAGCGATGAAATGTAATAAATCAACACGAGATATGGATCGGTGTCAAAACAGTAAACGGTGCACGGATTATCAGTAAAAACAAATATTACTTTTATCATATGGGCATATTTGAATATTAATAACATCCTACATGAAAAGGTGAACGTTAACCTGGGAGAAAGCGAGATATTTCCATTACAATAAAAGTGTATAAAGCCCGTGGATTAAAGAATATCAAAATCGATGGGGAGAAAGCAGCAAGTCCGAGCGCGGGAGTGCATCAGGTTGGATGGGAAGGCGTTCAGAGTTCGGTGGTGAAAGTGTCTTCATGTCTGATGGGGAAGAGCATCAAGTCCGATGGTGAGGGCGTAGCGTCCGAGGCTGAGAGGGTATCATTTTGCATGGTTAGAGAGTATAAAGTTCAAAGTTGAGTGTGGTTCATGATGACGGTCGTCTTTGAGTATAGAATCCAGAGGTTAGCAGTGAATGTTTCGAAGACAGTAGGAAAGCGTTGTTCAGGTTGAGCAGTGGATATTTTGGTAAAAGTAGCAGAGCATAGTTCGTCCTTCACCTGACAAGCTGGACTGGACATTCGGGTAGAGTGAACAAAAATGGCCGCCTTTATACACGACGGATTGAATGTTCTACGTCTTGTGATTGCTTAACCTTCTATTGGTGGACTATAAAGTGAGTCAAGTCATTTGGGTTGGCTCACTAGTAGTCTAATGTATCCAAACATTGTAACAGATATACCGTAAAAAACAAAAAAACCAAACAAACTAAACCAAAGACTACAAGAAGTTGGTTATAGATTTGAAAGGAATACCTTTTTGTTTCGGCTAATAAGGTTCTGAAATAGAATATGTATAGCTGGCCATACGTATTCGAGGATACCCGTCTACTTCGGCGGCTAGCCAATCCTTATTGCAGACGCTTGCTAAGGCACATTTCTGTTTGTTAAACACCCACAGATCCCACCTGTGGTTTATACCTTTATTATACCTGGGAAAGAGTATGTTATCTAGCGTAATCAACATTTTGAACAAGGACAGTATGCTAAATTTTTAGGTCATGATTGAATGTTCTAAGTCTTTTGATTGGTACCACCCTTTTCAGTTTTAGGGTACATTTTCTATTTGTTCCCAGTGAATATTTGGTAGTATTCTAATATATTCCCAAAATGATTCCGGATATCCTAGCAATTCTATAAAGTGAGTCAAGTCATTTGGGCTAACTCACTAGTATATATATACACAAAAAAAAACTGCAACAGTGAGAACCTATACAAGTCTGAGGGTGGAAGCGTATTAAGCCTGATGGTGAGAGCGTATCACGCCTGATGGGACGAGGTATCATGTCCGATGGCGATAACGTATCAAGTGTAAGTGTGAAGGCGTATCAAATCCGAGGCTGAATGTGTATCAAGATCAAGGCTGAAAGCATATCGTTTGAACGTATCAATTCTGATGGTGAGTCCGTATCAAGTTCGATGGTGAGGATCTATCAAGTACAAAGATCAAATCGTATCAAATTCCTAAATGAAAGCGTATCAGTTCCAAGAGTAAAGCGTAGGGAGTCGGAGTGAAGGGTGAAAGCATATCAAGTCCAGTGGTAAGAGTTTATGAAGCCCGAGGTTGGAAACGCCTCAAGGTCAAGACTGAAAGCGTATCAAGTCCGATGATGAGAATTCACTTTCAACCTTGGATTTGAAACCTTTATCAGCATCTCCAACGTTGAGAGTCCCATAGCGAGATCGTATCATATCCAATGCTGAGAGCGTACCAAGTCCAATGGTGAGAGCGTATCAAATTCAATAGTGTGAGCATATCAAGTGCGAAACTGATTATAAGCATGTGTCATTTTTTTGTTTTTATTTCCCTTAAATCTTCCTAATTGCTTACATGTTCCGCGCGTGGTATACTCAGCAACCGCGTCTATAGAACGACATCAGTGTTGCCTCATGTCTCATCTTTATCTGCGGTGAATATTGCCGAGAATTCACTCTCGTATAAAAGGATTCAGCCCTCATTTCTTTGTTATACTTTGTTTAGTTTTTGGTAGGCAATCTTTCGCGATTCCAATGAGTCTTCGTATTTCTCTGTCGCGTTTTCAGTTGAGTTCTGTAACAAATTCTTAATAGCTAAATTCCATCACTCGCTTGATGCTGTCGTCTCGCATTTTCGGCTGTACCTCTTGTTAACGACCATACAATGTGTCCTCTTAAAATTAGGATCTAGTCCGTTATTATGACTTTACTTCGTCTATAAATACCTGCAATCTTGTGTTTTTTTAAGCATTTCACCCCAAGCAAGGCGGGAGTGCCACTAGCACGCAAGGGGTTACAGAGAGTGAGAGTAAGAGTAAAGAGGGGTGTTTGAGGAAAGGATAAAAAGAAGGACAAGGGATCAAGATCAAGATATCAGAAGATGTCGATTGACATTACATTTGAATTTTTGAAGATTATAGTTATCAAGGAAGCAGTTAAGAGGGAGGGAGTTCTACTATCAGGAAGTGCGAGATAAAAAGCCGTTGGAGTAGAAGAGGCGGTTACGTTTAACTGTTTCGACAGTAAAATGGTGTGTCCGTGATGCCTACCTAGTAGCACGCTTAAGTTAATGAAATTGGGGCAACAGTGAAAACAGCTCGTCATTGCAGTTGCCATCAAAATATTTTTAGAAAAGACAGAGGGAAGCCACAACACGTTTGTGAGAAAGTCTGCCATTAACACTGTGTCAACTGTATATCTTATATTTTAAAGAATGTGCCCACTAGATAATAAATTATTAATACGAAAGGAAGTGGAAAAATCAGGCGTGGCTGACAACATATGGAGAGAAAAGGGAGATCACCTCCCTCTGAGGGATCAGGTTGAGATCATTGACAAAGAACACCATTGGAAAATTCATAAGCTTAAGAAATCAGCACATATGCTAGGTCACAAAAATCTCCCGAGCCGACCAAGCATAGAAATGAATACAATATGGAAACCAGTAATAAGAAGTACCTGAGAAAAGCGATAATAACAAGAAAAATTGCAATATGAGCTCTGGTAAAAAAAATATGAAATGATAACAACAAACATTGCAATATGATCACTGGTAAAAACATGATGGCTGAAGACATTAGGTTTATAATACCCAGATATCTTCAAGGACATGTGGCACTGTGGATAAAGGCGTTGGTTAGGTACAATGACAGGACCCAAAGAGTGTGAGTTCAATACCCAGTTAAGGCAGTGGGGGACTTGGAGAGAGGAATTAACAGGAGATAACTGATAACTGACATCCATTAAACATGGTACGTAGAACTAGAACAGTCCACCCCAGCGAGAGAAATAAAAGGTTCAGTTCGATATTCCAACCACCTGAAGAAGACCGGGTCGTACAACGGCCGAAACGTTGTAATAAATATGACGACAAAGATGAGGACAATAGTCTGAATAATGTAAATAGTGTACATAATACCTCATCTCAGAAACATAGACAGATAATAAATTCTTGTAATTTAGGATTACTTGCTTGTAAGGGTTAAATAAATCTTGTGAGAAGGCACGCCCTTTTCTTACTCCCTTTTCAGTTTTAGGGTACATTTTCTATTTGTTCCCAGTGAATATTTGGTAGTATTCTAATATATTCCCAAAATGATTCCGGATATCCTAGCAATTCTTATTCATTTAGAAGTCGTACTTTATCTAATGCGTTGTCTATAAAGCATAGAGTATTCGTAATTCTCTATTTGTATTGCTTCTTCTACTACCATTCTTATCCTAAACATCATGATAAAGAATGATCGTGTAGTTTTCTTTCTGTATCTGCTGTCACCACGGTGGCATCTGCATCTCCGACGGTTCAAATTCATTAGTAATCTAAGGTAAGCACAATGAATGTCCAGAAAATGCCTGTTTTTTTTTTTTTTTTATTAATTTTACCCAAAGGAAGGCAACAAACCCACTAAGTCGCAGCTATTGAAACAATATAAATAAAGGAAAAATATTATTAAAGAACGATAAAAAAAAAAAACGAATATTAAGATGACAGAGGATAACGATTGACACTGCATTTAAATTTTTGAAGATCAAACTTGACTGGAAATCAAGAAACAGCAAGAGAGTTCCCCGAACGAGAAATGCGAGTAAAGAACCTGCTAACATAGGACTTACGGTTATATCTATCTTGTAACATGATGAGACCTTTCTGCCAATCTAATACTGGGGGGGAAAGTCTTAAGGTTTGGGTACCATACAGGAATACAATATTTATTTCGTAAAGTTAAAAAAATTAGGCACGAGGGTGGTGATAAGGGAAAGCTGTCATATCTTAAACTTAGCTAGCAAAAATTACTGATCCAAACGTACGACAGTTTTTCGTACACGAAAATGACACATTTTACTTACCATTCTTACTACATCCACCATAATACCTCAAAATTTCCATGAAGTCCTAACTAGTGCTCATATGTATAATTTTGTCTGGCGGGGGTGGAGGAAATCTCATTAGAACAATTACCACAGATGTATTTATAGAAAGAGCACAGGGAAGCTACATTACGACAGTGGGAAATTGTCTAAAGTTAAGATGCCAGCTCAGGACCAATAACATTGCATATTCTTTGGATTTTATCAAGGATCTCTAAATATATAGCAGGAACACCAGACTAAATGTGTCAGCAATAACCATTACAAGAATGATTGGTAGATATAAATATGTAAGACAGATTCTGGCGACAGAATGAAGCATGTTTCCTAGCGACTGAATTAGCAATTCCTTCAATATAATCATTCAAATTAGGACATCTCCGCGTCGTGTAATGATTAGCCAGCTTGTCTCGCTAAAAACAGTTACGACTCAATGGTGAGTTCGATCCTCACTGGGTGCTCCCTGCTTTTGGCCTTGTGCCACATCAAAGCTACGCTTAGAAAATCTTTTTAGGAGGCACCTCGAGGCGGTGTAATAGTCAGCAAGCTTGTCTCGCTCGACCAATTATGACTGAGTAGGAATTTCGATCCTCACTGGGTGCCTCCTAGTTTCGGCCGTGTGCCACATCTAAGCTACTCTGAGAAAACCTTTTGGAGATTTAAACGTGATGGAATGATTAACAAGCTTGTCTCGATAGAACAATTACGACTGAGTATTGAGTTTCATCCTCACTGGATGCTCCTCAATTTTGGCCTTGTGCCACATCTAAGCTACGCTTAGAAAATCTTTTTGGAGATTTAAACGTGATGTAATGGTTAACAAGCTTGTTTCGCTAGACCAATTATGATTGAGTAGTGAGTTCGATCCTCACTCGGTGCCTCCTAGTTTCGGCCTTGTGCCACATTTAAGCTATGCTTGGAAAATCACTATAATCATTCCACTTCATAACAACGGAAATGGTTAGGCAGAGAAGACGAAACGAGTCACTCTCTCCCGGAGGTTAGCATCAGCCATGCTAATGGAAGGAATAAAAAAATTTTGTTTTATAATTTTCTGCTGAAATTGGGATAATACCCAAAAGACAGTTACGTTGTATATGCTTTCAAATACGCGGCAAGAGACCTCTTAGGACTAAAATTTAGAGATTAACACAAAATTCGTACTCTTTTTCGCTTTCAGCTAGCTCGGGCAAATACATGTTCAGAGATTACACATGGAAAACGGTTTCTCTTTTCCAGCGAGAGTATTTGGTTTATTCCCAGAATTGAAGGTTACAGAGAGGTATTTGGTTGAGCATAGGGAATAAACAGCTGCCTTTTAACCACTAGCGACAACAAAAGGAACGTGGAACACCTGACTAATGATATCTTTCCATTGCTTCCCAACAGGAAGTTATGTTCTGCTCCATTATCACTTAAGACGAACAGAAGAATATTTGGCGGAGGAAAGTGATGAAAGAATTTATCAGACTTCTGGCATCGAGCGTGTCGGCTCCCGTAATGGAAGCAAATTGAATGGTCAGAAGAAGTGTGAGTCAGAGGAGCTGAGTAAGCGAAGAAGGTAGAGATTCTACACAATAACACGAGCAGAGGAAAGAGTCTGTTTTACCTCCAGTGAAATTGATAATACGCTGTGACAATAAACTAAATTAGTGGCACGTTGTCAAAAGACCCTAATCATGAACAACAGAATCGGCAGATATCAAATATCTGCTTGCATACTTCTATCTATCTATCTATCTATCTATCTATCTATCTATCTATCTATCTAATCACAATCCCAGCATGGGTTAATCTATCTATCTATCTATCTATCTAGTCACAGTCCTAGCATCTGACTGTGTATGTAAACACAATACAAGCATCTATCTATCTATCTATCTATCTATCTATCTATCTATCTATCTATCTATCTATCTATCTAATGACAATCCCAGCATGGATTAATCTATCTATCTATCTATCTATCTATCTATCTATCTATCTATCTATCTATCTATCAAATCACAATCCCAGCATGGTTTAGTCTATCTATCTATCTAGTCACAGTCCCAGCATCTGTCTGTGTATGTAAACACAATACAAGCATCTATCTATCTATCTATCTATCTATCTATCTATCTATCTATCTATCTAATGACAATCCCAGCATGGATTAATCTATCTATCTATCTATCTATCTATCTATCTTATGACAATCCCAGCATGGATTAATCTATCTATCTATCTATCTATCTATCTATCTATCTATCTATCTATCTCTCTCTCTCTCTCTATATATATATATATATATATATATATATATATATATATATATATATCAAATCACAATCCCAGCATGATTTAGTCTATCTATCTATCTATCTATCTATCTAGTCCTAGCATCACAGTCCAATACAAGCATCTATGATCTCTATCTATCTATCTATCTAAACTATCTATCTAACAATCCCAGCATGGATTAATCTATCTATCTATCTATCTATCTATCTATCTATCTATCTATCTATCTATATACATATATATATATATATATATATATATATATATATAACTAATGACAATCCCAGCATGGATTAATCTATCTATCTATCTATCTATCACTATCCCAATATAAATATAGTGCTACCAGAAGGGTTAGAGCTTGCTCCACTCTTCATTGGGTTTTAATTTTCTGAAAGTTGTTGTTTTTGTTCCCCCCTCCCCCACAGACAAATTGAACATATGGGAACGGGTTAGGACTTCAATTGCGGTATTATGGTGGCTAGAGAAAGGATGGTAAAAATGTGTTATTTCAGAAAATACTGTGGCGTGTTTGGGTCACTAATTGTGGCCAGCTAAGTTTAAAATAATGACGGATTGAAGACCAGACTCACCTATCCCCCATGTTGGCCTTGTACCTCATTTTCGTATTTTCAGAATAAATATTACTTGGACCACCCTTGAAGACTGATGCATCGTAAAAGCGGTGCGTGCTTTTCCGACCGGTCTGCTATCAAATAGCTTCCGAGTAAAGCAATTTTCAATGACATCTCGTTTTATATATCCCGGCATCGAGGGATCCGTACAATAGATTTCTTATATATATATATATATATATATATATATGTGTGTGTGTGTGTGTGTGTGTGTGTGTAGATAATATTAGTGGTAAATATACATACATATGCAAAATATATAAATACCCATACATGTATATTTTTGGAATAAAAAATTCCGAGAGGATAGAATCCAGGTAGAACCCAATGTCCAGGACAGAGTAAATATATAATAAAAAGGCTTAAACACTAATATTCCATGGTCATAATTTATTCCATTGGAATCGTTAATACGATCCAATTCATCAGACCTATAAATTCAAAAAGAAAACAGAAAAAACAACCCCGGAAATAAAAACAGAATTTAGAGAGAGGGAGGAGGGAGATTATGTTCATATTTGATTTGTAACCTGTAGTCGATATTAAATTTGTCAAATTTTCTCAATTACAAAGCGGCCCTTTAAGTAAACGCAATTTTACTTTCCTTCACCCCATCTCTCTCCCCCACCATGTCTCCCCCCTCTTATTCTAACATTAGATTTCCTATGGTGTGTGTATGTCACCACAAAATGTATCTTTATGCATTAGACATCTGACAACATTCATTTTTCTCTTACTAAAACCCCTTCCACCCATCTCTCCTAAAATTCTCTCTGTTAAGGTTTGATCTCCCTCCTCCTCATACTTACACTCTCTCTAAATTCTGTTTTTATTTCCGGAGTTGTTTTTTTCTGTTTTCTTTTTGAATTTGTAGGTCTGATGAATTGGATCGTATTTACGATTTCAATGGAATAAATTATGACCATGGAATATTAGAGTTTAAGCCTTTTTTTTATTATATATATATATATATATATATATATATATATATATATATATATATATATGTAGGTATGTATGGTATGTATACAGGATGATTGAAAAGTAACTCACCATTTTAAAGTATTAATAATTTATTTATTAACTATAGTTTTTACAAGAAAAGGACATGAGATGAAAGCGTTTTGTATGAGATCGTATTTAAAATTCGATTCGAATCCATCACATTTCCTTACGTGCTAATAACCTTGGAAAAGGTATGAATCCTCTTCTTCTCGTCCCAGCTATGGGTAAATAGCAGGACAGATCGGGTTCTATACCCTTGATAGCATCTGGTCTGTCACAGAAAGAAATGTCAACATACTACGGGAAAAAAATCTGCCTCTCCAGTGATGAAAAGAAAAGATACATGATCGCCTAAGCGTGTATCACGCATGGCACTTTAGTAGAAAAAATAGGCACAAGATTTTGCTACCAGCTTCTCGGGCCGCCCAGGAATCGCGTCAAGTGATTTCACCAGTCACTCTTGTGGTATGGAAGACATAACTTGTTGTTCTCTCAAAGTCTTCGTTTTTATTGACTTGCTACTTTAACCAAACCCACAGTAAAAAGTCACATGGTCTTAAGTCAGGAATCCTGGCTGACCACTGATACATAAAATAGGGACTTACTTTTCAATCAACCTGTCTGTATATATATATATATATATATATATATATATATATATATATATTTAGTTTATGCAAAACTAGGTAATCCGCATGGGTAGACCCAAGGAGGATGATATATATATTTATTAAAGACATTTTTATGTTTAACGTTCTTTTTATAGATACAAGTATTTAAGTAAATTCTCTGTTTATAATAAACAGTATTAAATAACATTTACCGGCCTGAATGTCCGAGAAATTTTCATAGAAAATATTCGTTCTTTGACAGGACTTTGTCCATTTCTTAATATATGACGTCATTTGTTTACATTTGATACGCCAGAGCAGTTATGAATGTACGAGATTCATGGAAGATTGAAGTTTATAAGCAGTAGATTCGAACGCTTCTTTGTGGCTGATCGGTAAGGCACGTCAGCGTAAATGACGGTTCCGTATAGGATGCAGGTTCGAATCCTGTCAAAGGACGAATATTTTCTATGAAAATTTCTCGGACATTCAGGCCGGTAAATGTTATTTAATACTGTTTATTATAAACAGAGCATTTACTTAAATACTTGTATCTATAAAAAGAACGTTAAACATAAAAATGTCTTTAATAAATAAATTGTCGGACTTTGTCCATTTCTTAATATATATATATATATATATATATAACGGGTGTAACAGCAAAACTGTCAAAATCGTGTTACAGCATGGGATAATTGTCCATCCCACAAAAAGACACTAAACTAATTGAGCGGTTTTTTCCCAAGTTTTCAGATAAGACGTTTAGCCATCTTCACACCATTTGTCTTAAGAATCACTGAAAAACATTTTGAGTTATTCAGCTAGAAAAAGAACAGGTTAAAATAATTGTGGGTCATCCCCACTATGGCTTCCTAACTGAGCAATGGTGAGAGGAAAAAGATCATTCAGTCCTAGAGTAATGGTATCAATATTCATAGTCTTCCTTCCATATTCAAATTCGATTCAAGAACCATCAAGAGAACGGTGAATAAGTTTTAAAAAAGAGGTAACAGTTGAGAGGAAAACTGGACAAGGAGGTCACAACTGTGATAGGATCATTATTTCAACTTAGAGCTAAACACATTCTTATTGTTCAATAGTTCCAAGCTTAATCAAACAATTGGACAATTTTGGTGTTACACGATTTGAACAATTTTGCATATATATATATATATATATATATATATATATATATATATATATATATATATCGCGTATAACAGCAAAATTCTTCAAATCGTGTAACATCAAAACTGTGCAATTGTTAGATTAAGCTCTGAATCGTTGCATCTTAGAAATGATTAAAGTTATCTTACTGGAATTCTCTGAGATTTTTATAACACTACTGAACTCTTCCTTGAGCAAAAAGAATGCATAATTAGTCCTCATGCTTAACAGAAGAATCGTGGTGAAATCGTCCATAAATGAAAATGACACGTTCATCAATGTTCATTAATAAATCATAGTTAAGGGTTGTTTGTATATGAATACGTCGTATTAAACTGAAATTTGTTTTTTGACGACTTCCTAAAGGTTTTTTTTATGATTGGGTTAAGTTTTTAAAGCTATTGCTTTAATTGAACTTCTTTATAGACTTTGAAGTTTAAAAAATATTTAAGCTAATTATATAAGGCGAATATTTCTCGGTGTCAGCAAAAAAACCGTTATCTCATGTCTTTGATTTAATAAATTTCCTTTTTTTAGAAACTTAGTAATATGTAGTTTTTCATGCCGGCATAAAGGGCATGGGTCATCGAAGTTTTTAAAAGTTCTTGTGCTATTTATTATTTTCCATTTTACTTTTGGTGTTTTATTCGTTTCTTTTAAATGCCAAAAATATTTAGATAGAGATGTCTGATTTCTATTTCTAATATTACTGAAGGAGCTTTTGTGTTGTCTCCACCTTATTTTAAATTCATTCTTCATGGATCCTATATATATCATTTCAATGTTTAGATTCTCAATGGATAAGATTGTGCATTGGGATACCACAGATTATATGCATCAGTTATTATCCAACCGGAAGTCTTCAGGGTTTCTTCAATCACATAATTTTTCATTATTTTTGTCTAATTTTAATTTAGGGTTTTTATCAATTTGATTTTGGCATGCGTGTTTTTTCAGTATTTTATTATTTTTTATGATTCTTTCTAGATTATATATATATATATATATATATATATATATATATATATATATATATATATATATGGTATAAAATGACTATTAGAAAAAACATCTTAGATTTTGCCGACGCGTTTCGTCTTCCGACTTTTTCAAGGCAAAAATGAAATCGAAATGTCTTTGTTGTTATTGTTACATTAAAAAATCCAAATTTAAAAAGATAGACGCTTCTGTCTAAGCCTTTTTTTCTGGTTAATGTAAATTACTTTTATAGTAAGGGATTTTTTTTTTCAATGTTGACAATATAGTTAAATTCCCAGATCAATTCTGTGGACAAAACAGATTGGTATAAAATGACAATTGGAAAAAAAAATCTTACATTTTGCCGACGCGTTTCGTCTTCCGACTTTTTCAAGGCAAAAATGAAATCGAAATATTTTTGTTCTTATAGTTATATTAAAAAATCAAATTTAAAAAGATGGACGCTTCTGTCTATTTTTAAATTAAATTTTTAAATTTTTAAATTTAAATCTGTTTTTAAATTTGGATTATCTTA